ATGTTCTGTACAATATGAAACTAGTTTATCACAGGAATATTTTTTTTGTTTTTTGTTTTAGAGATGGGGTCTTGTTTGTTGCCCAGGCCAGAGTACAGTGGTATAATCATAGCTTACTGCAAGTTTGAACTCCTGGGCTTAAGTAATCCTCCCATCTTGGACCCTGGCTAGGACTACAGGTGCATGCCACCATGCCCAGCTAATTTTTTTCATTTTTTAAAAGATATGAGGTCTCACTGTGTTGCCTAAGCTGTTGCTGAACTCCTGGCCTCAAGCAATCTAACTGCCTCAGCCTCCCAAGTAGCTGGGACTACAGGCACAAGCCACTGCACCTGGAAAGAATGTTTTTAAATGCTTTAAGGTGAGTGAGAGCTAGTCCGGAAAACAGCTTTCCTGACTCAGTTTCCCTTGTGTGTTGAGCCTCCCTCTTTGGCTCCTGGGACAATGATGTGAGGCAATATCAGCCACTGAAGGGGGTGGTTCTAATGGCTTAGACTGCAAAGGGAGGGTTTGGGAGGGATTTGGATGCCAACAGTCCCCAGTCAGTCCCTTTACCTCCATTCCCCACTCAGAACCTTCTCACTGTGACCCAGCCTCAGCTGAGTTTCCCCTCACACTTCCTCTTAAGTGCTCTCTAATCAAACACAAGTTTGGCTAGGTCCCTCCACTGCTCTAAGCCCTTCCAAGGCTCCCCTCTGCCCTCAGGTTAAACTTGAGGCTTTTTGACACACAAGAGGCCCTCTGGACTTCAGCTCCACCCCTGCTCCCACAACACCAGCAGCTCTAGGCACCCATCTTGTGTATTCCAGAATTCTTGAGCCCCAGAGCAGTGCACGGCACACTGGGTAACAGTAGAACTGAGTAAACCCATCTCTTCCCCGGACCCTCTGCTGCTGCCCCAGGGAGCCAATATGCAGGCAAACTGGTGGTTGCAGCTTTAGTGCAACATCCTCACCTATAAATGTGGGAGTTGAAACACCTGATCACTGAACTCTATGCCCTTGAGGTTCCCCATATTCTGTGCTGGTCTCATCCCAAAGGAAAGGAGGTGGCAGCATAGAGCCACGCCTGGCATCCTTTGTATCTCAGTCTGCCAGGGGCAAGCACTAGGTTACCTGGACAGTCCTCAGTTTACTTTTTGCCCCTGGAAAATGGGTGTAAATAGCCTTATGGGATGACCAGGTGCAGAGAATGGGAGGACATCCAGGGGAGAGGAGGTGTGAATTTCCTCTCCATAGCTTTGCAAGGGCTCTGCCAGGTCCTTGACACTGGCCTTGCAGGGGAGGGTTTGGATGAGAAAGCTGTAGTCCAGAGAGGGTAAAGGGACTGGCCTAAGGTCACCTAGCAAGTCTGTGATGGAGCTGTTCCTGGGAGACTGAACTAATGACATGTTGCGATCTCTCAGCAGAAATAGCAGGAAAGCTGTGACCACAGATGCTGACCGGAGGCTCCAGAGTCTCTTGGTTACAACACGGAAGGCCTGAAGAAGGAGGGAGTAGGTGGTATGATCCTGACATAGTGCAGAACCCACATCACAGAACCAGAGTTACATAGGATAGACATGGCAGAGTCTTCAGTCTCCTCCTCTTTGAGAAGGGAAAACTGAGCTACGGAAAGCAGTAGTTTATGGGGTAAGGCACACTCTTGGGCTCAGATGGTCCTAGGTTTGAATTCTGGCTCATTCACTTGCTGTGTGACCTTGGACAAGTGACTTAACCTATGTGAGCCTGTTTCCTATATCATAAAGTACAGACTAGGGGTTCCTATACAACTTCAGTGACGACTCCATGAGATCATCTATGTTAAAACTCAAGCACAGTGCTGGGTACATAGTACCCTATCAACACTGTCCTTTATTGCTAAGATTTATGGTCACTTTTCAATGGGCCCTGATTTCTTACTGCATCAGAGCCTTTCAGAACAAGACCCCACGGTCCAGTAAAATCCCTTGACATTTTGGGATCCTGGTAGTGTTGGACTGTAAGTGCTGTAGGAGGCACAGTGTCTCTTGCCACACCCTGTGACATGGGCCCTCAGGGAGGAGGCTTTGGCCTTCAGGGGCCCTTTGCTTCAGGACCCTGTTTCAGTTCTGGGCTCTCTCAGTTCCTCCTGTTTTATTCTGTGCTGGCCAACCATGTCCAGCCCTGGTGTGGGAAGCAAAGAAACTCTCCCTTTAGCCACCCAGTAACATCAGTACTTTTCCTTTGTTCTGCTAGGAGGATGTTAGCAAAGCTGTCGAGTTTTGGCTGAAGAACTCTAGGTCTGCACAGTCTATAGAGGATGCAAATCTCATCTACATAGAGGCTTCCCTTTTCTCTTGTAAAGATTAGCTGAGGCTGCCAGCCCTGGAGGATCAGAGAACAGAGATACAGGCTACAGAGAACTACCTGGGGCCATACAGAAATGGGGAGGAGGTTCTCATAAAGTGCAGTGTTAACTGTCTCAGAAACTTCCCTGGTGAACTGGCACATCCTACCATGTATCCTATGGTCACCCTTTGAACTCCCAGTAGCCACTCTGTTCACAGACTTCATTCTGCTGGAAGCCTCCAAGGAGCTAGTTAATTTGGCTTCCTGGGGAATAAAGACAGACCTGCAGCTTCCCCAAACCTGAGCTGCAACCCCCTTTCTCTCTAAACCCAAACTGGGCTGGGCTTGTCCTGCAGCACACAGTGACCCAAAAGGGAGGTTGCTCTCCAACTCTCAGGAACTGGCTCACTTAGGCAAAGCCTGTGGAAACCTTGGCAACCCTGCCGTTTAACCTGGAAGATGTGCTCCAGCTCAGCCCCTCCCACCACCCTCTCCAGACCAACTAGCTGGAGAGAGGGGGATGGGTGAAGACCATCCTACTGAATCTGGACCTCTTTGTACCCTTCTCCACAGACAGCCAGAGTGAGCCTCTTGAAAGGTAAACCAGGTTACACTGCTGCTGGGCTAAAACTCTCATGGCTTTTCCAGTAACCTCAGAATCAGACATGACCTGGCCCCTCTGACCTCTCACCTCATCTCTCACCACTCTTCCCTGGCCCACCTCCAGGCCCCAGAACTTGCTTGAACTGGCCACTAACAGCCACCCTAGGGCCTTTGCATTAGCTGTTCCCTCCCCCTGGAATGCCCTCTTCCTCATTTTTGTCCAAGTCATCAGATCTCAGCTTAGATGAACCTCCTGAGTCCCTCCCTCCCTGACCATTGGATCTAAAAGGATCTATAGTAACTGATTACCCCTTTCTGTGACAGTAGCTTGTCTTAATTCCCGCCCCCAAACAGTCTCAATTATCTAGTTTGTTTATTATATTCTTCTCACCACCGACCCCCACCCCTCACGGCAAGTCCCCCTAGAGGTCAGTGGCCTCTGCTATCTTATGCGCTGCACAGTCCCTGGGTGCTGCAGAGGGGCTGGGGCTAGAACTGGCCTGGCGGAGAGTAGTCGCGGGGTAGTTAGTGGTTGAATGAATGGTTGAGCAACCGTAAGCGCGGACGGCAGCTGCTGCGCGGGCGCGCGCTCCAGGCCGTGGACTGCTCACGGTCTCATGCGCGGGTTTGATCTTTTTGCGGGTCTTGAGGGAGGGACACCCACTCGCTCAGCTGGGAGCCGATGCGCCGTAAATGAGCTTTGGGGACCGCAGGATAACGAGACCGACTTACAGGCTGTGGAAAGAGCCGCGTGCCTCGCGAGGATGTAGGTGGGGAGGGAGTTCTACGGCCGGCTGTGCGCCCACGGATGTAGGCATTAATGCCCCCGTGGGAGACCTTTCCCTACTCTTCCCAGGGGTTTCCACTTCACGAGTCTCAGATTCTCCTAGGAATTCCAGGGACTTAGCGGTCGAGTGGGCGGAGAAGCCGGGCTCGGTGTGCTGCTCCAGGCAGGGGGCAAGTCCCCAGCGCCCTCACTCTATCCTAGGAGCGAAGAGAGCACGGACTGCGGTCCGGGACAGGGCTGGCAAGGCCTTGGCCCTCTTGGGGGATCAGACACCGGAGCTGCAGTCCTGGGCTAGGATCTAGTGGAAACGTAGCCCCACTGTGCCCTGCGAGTGGGGACCCGGGTGGAGATGTGAGCGGAGGAGTTCGGGGTTAGGGTATGGACAAAGAGCGGCCCTGCTGAGGGGAGAGAGCGACCTTCGTGTCATAGCCCTATTGTTCGTCGCATGTCAGACTATGCTGAACTCTAGTGCCCCCGGGAGGGAGAAGGGGAGCTGTAGCCCAGATCGTGGGTATTTGTTTATTTGGGGTGAGGGAGGGAGGGCGAGGGACGCGGGCCTGGGAGGGGCCCCGGCGCCCATTTTCCGCGCGTCTCCTTTAAGGGAAGCCCGGCCCTACCTTTCCCACCGTACCCCCACCCTCCCCGCAGCCGTACCTGCATTTTAAAAGCTCCCTGTAGCCCAGGGATTGGCCAAGGCCGCGTCCTCTGGGCGCAGAAACTTGAACCTCCAGGAGAGGGGGTTGGAAACTCGGCGGATGGACTGAACCATCTCCGCGTCATCCCCCGCGTGCGCCCCGCCCTTCCCACACACCCCCAAAGAGGCCCAATCAAACAAGCGGGAAGGCGGGACTGAGGCTCGAACGCGCCTCTGGCAGGGCGCCGGGCGGGCTGGCGCACCGCGCTGGGGGACGTCCGGAGCCCGCAGTGTCGCGCCAGCCCCAGTCTCCCTGGGAGGCGGGGCCGGGCCGCGGCGCCCCGCCCTCTCCCCGCCCGGGGTGGGCGGGACGGCTGGGGCTCCAGGAGCTGGGCCGGGGGCGGGCCTCCGCCTGCTTTGCTTGAGCCGGGAGAGCGCCCGGCAGCACTACCGCCGACGCAGCAGCCGTCTCCGCTCGCTGAGCTCGGAGGCGTGCGGGTTCCCAGGCAGTCCCGGCGGGCGCTGCGTGAGGCGCGAGGCGGCACCCGGAGGGCCGCACGCGCCCCCGGCCTCCCCCCGCCCGCGCGCGGACTGGCCCAGGTTAGCCCCCGCGCGGGGAGCGCGGGCCGGGCGAGGGCGAGGGCGATGCCGCGGTGACGGCCCCGCCATGGCGAAGCCGGCGGCGGCGGCGGCGGCGGCGGCGGCGTCGGAGGAGCTGAGCCAGGTGCCGGACGAGGAGCTGCTACGCTGGAGCAAGGAGGAGCTGGCGCGGAGGCTGCGGCGCGCCGAGGGCGAGAAGGTGGGCCTCATGCTGGAGCACGGTGGGTTGATGCGCGACGTGAACCGGCGGCTGCAGCAGCACCTGCTGGAGATTCGCGGCCTCAAGGACGTGAACCAGCGGCTACAGGACGACAACCAGGAACTACGCGAGCTCTGCTGTTTCCTCGACGACGACCGGCAGAAGGGGCGCAAGCTGGCGCGCGAGTGGCAGCGCTTCGGACGCCACGCGGCCGGCGCCGTGTGGCACGAGGTGGCTCGCTCGCAGCAGAAGCTGCGCGAGCTCGAGGCGCGCCAGGAGGCCCTGCTGCGCGAGAACCTGGAGCTCAAGGAGCTGGTGTTGCTGCTGGATGAGGAGCGCGCGTCTCTGGCGGCGGCAGGGGGCGCGGGCAGTGGAGGCGGCGGTGCGGGCTCCCGCAGCTCTATCGACAGCCAGGCCAGCCTGAGCGGGCCGCTGGCTGGGGGCGCGGCGGGTGCAGGGGCCCGCGACGTGGGCGACGGCAGCAGCACGTCCAGCGCGGGCAGCGGCGGCAGCCCCGACCACCATCATCACGTTCCACCCCCACTGCTGCCCCCCGGGCCGCACAAGGCCCCGGACGGCAAGGCTGGAGCTACGCGTCGGTCCCTGGACGACCTGTCTGCGCCACCCCACCACCGCAGCATCCCTAACGGTCTGCACGGTAAGGACTGCACGGGCTGGGCAGTGGTGGTCTACCTGTTGAAGTCCCTAACTTCGGGGATGGTGAGATTAAGTACTTTCTGTCCACCCCGCTCACGTCTGGCGCAGCCTTCTCTCTAGACCCCTCCAGCTGCCCTCGGTTCCTGGGCTGGAGGATCCCACCCCCACCCGCTGTAGGGCTTTGGTGGTGGCGACCAGTTAAGGGATAGTGCGAGTCCCTGTCCAGCTCAGAATCAGCAGCCAGGCGTTCCACTCCTGGAAAGTTTCTCCCTTGCAGAGTTGTCAGTATTAGCGTCTGGCACTTTGGGGCTGGCTCACGGTGTCTCATCCCAGCCTGGAAATCTATGCCTGGCAGCGGGTAATTCTAAACGGAGGTGAGGAGGGGTAGGGGTGGGAGGAAGCCCCTTGAGCGCAAGAGAATTTCCCCTCTTGTTGCTTCCAAGAGGGAGCAACAGGCGTCCCCAAACCAAAGCAGCTTCCGTGTGTGCGGTGGCTTGAATTCTGCCTTCTGTTCTTCCCATGCTTCCGTGTATTGGGTGAGGATTGGGAAGGAGCACAGGCAGCCTGGTTGAGATACTGAGGCATCTGGGCCTGAGGACCTGGGGCTAAGAGCCTTCCTGGTTGTTTCTAAGTTCTGCACTTCTGATTGGGGAAGTTTTCTCAGCTGAAGCTCTAATACCTTTCCCAGGGATATGTAGGTGGAATGGAGCCTGGCTTTTCTCCTCTAGGTTCCTCAGTTTCCTTGTCTCTGCCTCATGGGTTTGTGGTGCAGATAAAGCCTTTGAGGGATTTGTAAACTGTTGATCGCCTTACAGGAAGTGCCGTGGTCATCTGCAGGGGAGGGGTGTGTAGGTGGGAGGACCTTTGGCCTCAGGAAAACTCATTGACTGTCTTCCACGCCTATGTTACTGCTGGGCTTGTGCAGAGAGTACACCCAGTTTGGGTCTCCTGAAGCCCAGCAGCCTGCTCCCGCCCAGTACTTTGATGAGTCTTCTCCTGCCTGGTGGACTTGGGGGCTCTCTGTTCTTCTCCAGTTTTGATGGCTTGGCTCCCAATTCTGGTGGCAATTTCGATTGCCTGAACTATTTGCCTGAAGGTGGAGAATAAACAGCCCTTTCTGGGTCCCTTTTAAAGCCTTTCCTAATTCAGAGAAAATGTATTCAGGCCTTAAATAACTGCTCTTCCCCAGAGTGACAGCAGAAGCCCAGGAGGGATGCTTTCTCTTTAGTTTGGTGGCCAAGCAACCTCTGCCGGGTTGTTGGGGCGGGGGCTGGGGTGGGAACTGTACCCATGGAGGGAAATGGCAGTGCAGCATTGTTTTTCCTTTATTTACCAACTTGGTCTTTGAGTTCAGGGCAGGACTGGGTTTGGAGGGATATTTTGTTACTGATTAGCAATCTATAACTACAACTCAGGTTTCTGTTTGTAACTCTGTATCCACCCCACCTCCCACTGCAGGCTCCTTAAGGCCACTGGGAGAAGCTAAGTTAGGTAGTTTAATTTGTTGGATGTGCACCCTGTTAGAGCACCTCAGCCTCTTTGGCGTCACTTTCCTGGTGTCTTTTGGAGAGTCTGTTTTCTGGGCCTCAGTTTCCCTAAACGCAAAGCTAAGGAGCAGATTGTTGCAGTCTTATGGCTAGGAAATGTAATGTTACTATTTTTCAGCTGCGTCATCAGTGACACTTGGCAAGAGTGACTCTCTGCAAGACACTGGAGGGCTGGAGTGTTGTAGCATATTTGCGGGAGAGGTTCTGCCATATTTTGGACAAGGAGATGTGAGCCCAGACTGGCCCAGTATTGCAGTAACACAGTGAATAATGAGGAAGGGGTACTGGGCTAGACCCAGGAGGTTTTCTACTTACTTGGGAGCCTGGGTGGGGGGCGGGGAGGGAGGTTGAGGTGTAGGGTTTCCTGCAGAATCCATGCCCCCCGGGTCCCAAGTTCACTTAGAATAGGACTGTTGCAAATTTGGTGAAAGCAAAGCTTTGCTTTGGGATGAAATGAAAATTCAGCATTACTATTAGAAATTTCAGCTCCAGATAGGATTGTTTTTGTTTAGTTTTGTCTCTTAAAGTCTTGTGTGGCCTCAAGATTCCTCCTACCATTATGAATAGAATGCCTAGAAACAAGGAAAGGCCCTTCTCTTAGAAACTGGACTTTTCTTACTGGAACCTATAGCTTTAAGTTGAACAATGATTGTGCCTGAGCTGAGAGAGATAATGAGTCTCTGTTTGAGTGGTGGCAAAAGTGGAGTTAGATGTACTTGGTCTCAGCTTATTCTCACAGTAATCCTGGAGAAGCATTATTATCCCCATTTTACAAGTAGGTGGAGGCTCAGAGAATTTTCTAGCCTTGCTTGGGAAGGGAGCTGACGTTGGAAGCGCCTGTCCTGGATGGGGTTGCTGCTCAGGGCATAGGCTGTCTTGCATCCCTGCTCTGCTCTCATTTTTGCTGTAATTTTTAAATCAGAGGACACTGGTGACTCCTGATTCTTGGTTTTTGACCCAGGTTTGCCCTGTTTCTCCCGTGCTGGAAAGTGTCATTTTCTTATCGGTGACCTCTGAGCAGATGGTTGATAACCCCATTACCCAGAGGGTTGGACTGTCTTGAGTTTGAATCTCAGATCCTCCACTTACCTTGGGCAAGTTACTAAACTTTGCCAAGCCTCTTCCTGCTCCTCTTCTGTAATGTGGGGTGCCTCATTATCCATACAAGGTCAAGTGAGATCTGGATGTGCATGCAATAAGTGCATTTCTCCAGTTAGAGTCTTTGGGAGCTTGCCAAACAGCCTTTGGTTTTCTCTTTAAAATTGTTTGCTGTTTAGACAATTCACCGGAATGTTTGTGTCCAGTCCCTTGTGTAGTTGCACCTGCTGATGTGCTGACAAGCTGAGGGGAGGGGGGTGGTGGCTCTGTAGTCCTGTTGGTGGAGCTGGCAGTGCCTGTCCCAGTCTGGTCCACCCCCTCATCCCCCCCCCCCCATGCCCTGGAAGGCCTCAAGTGGCTGAGGTGGGAGGTGGCCCATCTGTATTCAAGCCAACCTCTGACTGGGACCAGGTCTGGCGGGCCTGTGAATGCATATGCAAATTGGTCTTTCTCCTGGGTTGGTGGAGGCAGAGGTCTGGGCTGGGCTGACTGAAGTCTGGACTCCAGTCTCTAATCCAGTGTGGCCCATTGAGGTAGGTGAACTCCAAACACGAAAGTCAGGTTTCCTTCCATGAACTGATATCATTTTCAAACAGAAAAGAATTTCAGCTCTTTCTCCACCTGCCCCTCTGTCATTCTGGATGCCACACTGTAGCACCTTGGCCCCCTGGCATGTTCTCCCCCTTCCCCCATGCCCGTTTAGCTGACCCAGAGATGCCAGAACCTCCCTGCAAGCCCATGAATGAGCCCCATTTACCTTTTTTAAAGTTAGGATTAAAATTTTGAGTTTCTCAAAATCAGATGGGTTTATTCTCCTGCTTGTGTTTTTGTTGGTTTAAGAGGGAGGATGGAGTGGGTGGTCTGGGCCTTTAAAAAAAGACAGAGCGGGCTGGCCCTGAATAGGTCTTTTCTGTGCAGCTTCCAGGCTCAGCTAATAAGGCTGCTTTTCCTAAACCCTGGCAGGCTGGGAGCAAAGGTCAGGGAGGACTATGGGGTGGGTGAGATAAGCCTTTCCCTTCCCTCCCCTGCCTGTCCCTAGGGATCTGTCAATGGCCTTGGGGTGCTGGGTCCTCAGGACTTTACACTGAAGGAGGGACACAGGCAGGAGACTGAGGGGAGTATGAGATTTGTGCAGCACTTCACAGTTTACCATGCAAAACTTGCTTGTCTCAACCCCATTCCCTTTCCAGATGGCCTCTGGAGGGAGGCCTCAGCATCTTCATAGGAGGGGAAGCTGGGGAAGCTGAGGCTTGGAGAGGTATGGTGGTTTGCTCAGGTACTGTGGAGCTGGCCAGGGAGCCTAGGATGAGTCTTAAGTCTCTTGTGTCAGAGGACTGAACGTGTGGCCCTATGCCTGCTACCATGGAGTTCCAGGGGGTGGTGGCCTGTGCCACAAAGGTGGGGCACCTCTTGGAAAGTTGGACCATGAGCCTAACAGCTGTTCCTCTGTTTCCTGGCATGCAGCAAGAGGGGGAAAGCCATGCATGGGCCTGGGCAAGTGGTGTCTTTCTTCCAGGCAAGGGGTGTCTGTCCTCACTTCTCTGTACAAGGCTGGCTCTGTTGGCTTCCCACTGCAGCTGGTGGCCTATTAGACCCTTCCCCAAAGCCTCTGAGCTCCTAGGACACATACTTAGTTGACCGGCATGATAAAAGGAAATCAGCAGTTGTGCATAATCTTTCCCACTCGTGGGGATTTGCTATACCATGCTTGCATAGAGAATTGACAGCCTACAGCAGCCTGAACAAGAGTGAGACTCCATCTCTACAAAAACCAGAAAAATTGGCCAGGTATAATCCCAGCTACTCTAGAGGCTGAGGGAGGAGGATCACTTTAGCCCAGGATTTTGAGATTGCTATGAGCTGTGATGATGGCATGCACTTTAGCATGGGTGACAGAGGCACAGCAAGATGATCTCAAAAGTAAATAAATGAATAAATAAATAAATAAATAAATAACTGAAGGAAAAGAAAAGAAAAAGAAAGTCTAGCACCTTAGGCAAGTTGCTGAACTTCCAAGGGCCTCTGTTTTCTCATCTGCAAAGTGGGAAACATTACCAACCTTTGGGTTGAAGGAAAAAGGGCTGTAATGATGTATGTAAACTCAACAGTATAGCTGTCTCCCAGCTGCAGTATTCAGCACTGGGTATGCTTAGGGGAGTGTAGCCTACTGGTTAGTGCTTTTGCTCCATAGTCTAAGCCCTGAGTGAATCTTGGCCTTACTACCTGCTCGATAACCCTGACAGTGTACTGAACCTTTGAAGGTCAGTTTCATTGTCCATATCCTGAACATAATAATACCCTAGCCCTAAATAACTGGGCCTTAAAGGATATCCTTATTTCCTGAACCTCTCACCTC